CGTGATTCCCACCGTAGTGTAACTATTGAAGTGCTGAATTTTGTCTTGAAATTACAGGCATCAATCACTTACATTGGCTTTTTCTTGGTAGCACCTTTAAGACAAATTTCCGGCCGATCTGGCGGCCACCGAGAGGAGAATCACTAATTCCTATTTCCTAGTGTATTCAGAACAGTGTTACATTTATTTTATTGCTCCTACTGTCGGTCAACAGTTTAATTTTTAAAGTAAGTAACGAAGTAAACACAGTTGGGAATTTTGAAGCAAAAAGTCCTTTTTAAATTCTAGAAATAGTTTTGCTTTGTTTGAGATGCTGCTTGACTTATTCTTTGATGTCAAAATGTAGACTGGTGAAACTAAACCACCTTCTCATTGGCCAGTTTGATCTGTAGGCGGTACTGGCGGGCAAGCTGAACTGCGGTGACTAGTTTAATATTATTTTAGACGGTATCAAAAGTAACTTTGAAATGTGCATGCGACTTGTTTTTATTCAAAGTTTATGAATATTGCAATATAAGCTGACAACGTTTTTGTCACGTTCTGTGATTAGCAGCCAAAGTTCTGAGTGAATAATTTCGATAACGGTGAGTACTGAGTTGAATATTTTCATTCAACTTATAAGTACCTAAGTGTAATCTTTTTGAATACCGTAACCCTGTAAAAATTTTGATCAGATCAGATGTCTCATGATCACATTTGGCATTTTACTCATTTATTTTGATTGTCAATTTAGTGTAAAATGTGTAATGGGTGGACGGACTTCTATTGTGATTGATAGGTATTCTAGTGAAACGGATAGACAAAAAACAAAAATAAATCATGTAGTGTGACATTCTAAGAGGTGAAATATTAGAATTGGGAACTGAACTGGTTACCTGGACCTGGAGCCTAAACCCAAAAGTGGAGGCTTCAGGCTGGTACGTACCTACACTGGTGACTGGCCAGCCCATATTGCTCATAAGTCATAATTGCTGTAGAAAGCCTAAAACAAAGCCTTTAAATTTTGACTGATATATTTGAAATGAATCTCCTTTGCCTTGAACCCTGCTTGCTGATCACCTTGAAAAGTTGAATCCAGGTCACTTTAGTCTGAAATATAAGGCTGAATTTGTTGGAAATTTTTAGGCATAAACAATTGTTCCATTGCTGATTTTCAATTTTCGAAATAGGGTAAAGGCAGTATATTCTGTCATCGTGGGTAATTCTGTCACCTCTTTAGTTTTTCCTTTATATTAAGCTTTGTTTTAGTTCCATCATTCCATGCGTTCGTTGATGGTTGAAATGGTGAGTGACGTCATACATTTGCGCGTCAAACTAATGCCAAAACACTAGGTCTTGGCCATCTAGTGGGAAAATATTGAGATCCAAAGAGAGACGATGCACGCTACCCAGTGAGTGAGTGAGATCATCGAAAAATGTGTCAAATTTGACAGTTGACCTTGCTCTACCAAATAGTGAATAACTGTTCGTATAGGAAGAATATTATGGTTTGAGACTTTTAAATACGTCTGTGAATATATTAGGAATCCTTTAAGTATACTTGTATTCGCTGATTTCAAGTGGTAAATAAATTAAGATTTAATAGATGATTAGGTTGAGAAATGGATTTAGACACATGAAAACTAATTCCGTCACAACTTGAATTGGACACACACAGATCGTTTCAAGCTGTGTACAAAAATTAAAATTTGCTTAATTAAAAGCTTATTAGTTGTTAATTAAAAGCGTAATTAAGTAGTGTTCAATATTCATTAGTGTTCTAATTCAAAGCCGTGTTGTATTCCAATACAGCTCACATAGCAAACGGAATTCGAACACATGGATGATGGCATTACGTATCAGTAGAATTTGAAGCGCGGACGGAATACGCCTCACCACATGCTGAATATTGCCACACACAGTGACGAAAGACAGGGATTTGGTAGGTTTCCATTCTAAAGGCTTTTAAATAAATATGGCAACATTTTGTGACGTTTCGTTGTTGCTGACAGGTAGTGCGGTGTTTTGAGTCACATAAAGCAAACAGAACTTGAGTAACGCATACGGTTATTTTTTTATAGTTTTTCATTTCTCGATGCGTCCTTAATGTGACGGAATATACCGCGTTTACCCTACCTGGTACAATTGTGCCATTTTTCTTGTTGTTCACTGAAGTAGCCTAATTGGAGATGGCAAATGTCCTTTTACCCCTTTATGAATACTTTATGTGAATACCTAGGCTAAGTAGAGAATTGGGTAGAATCCACCCATAAATCTGGCCAATTGCCCCTGTTGCTATGGGCTATGAGCCATGGCCTTTACAAACTTCTTCAGTAAAAAATGGGATAAATGATCAAAGCTGCAATTTTAGCCAGGTTGCTGTAAGTGGGTGAATATCTGAAGAGCTTTGATGACGCATCAGCTGCAAAATTTACACCTTCAGAAGATTTTTCACACACATTTGGATTTAAATTATTACATTTTAGATATTTGTGGATCTTTGATGATGCTAACTGTGGAACAGGAGGTACACCAGTGGCTGCATTGCTTTTAAAATTTACAGATTCCATTTTGTTGAATGAGTCTGCAAAACACAATCCACAATTCGGTAATTTTTGTTGCAGTGCAATTGTCTACTGCAACACCTGGCGTGTTAAAGATCATTGAAGTTGGTTCTGTAAGAATTTTGAAGGAAATTATGTTTGGAACGCATATAGAAGACTGCCAACAACACATCTTTGCTACTACCAGCAACATATTTGGTCTCAAAGTCCACAAATGCAAAAATTGGTGATGCATTCACAAAACTCTACATCCTGTGATTTTTTGGAATCTTTTGCCTGGATGGCAGCCTGATCTTCAAAATAGGTGTGAATTGGTCAAACTAATTTAATTCAGATTCATGGATATTTTTGTCTCATTTGCATGTGGCTTCTGCATATGCCTAATTTTCAGTTTGGATTGCAGGCTGGTCACTAATGTGTGGCTTGCAAAATATTCACTGGTATATTCTTTCAACTGGTATATTTCTTTTCAACTGCTATATAAAATATTTTCTGTTCCAAAAATCTTCTGTTTCTGATCAAGCTGTTTCCATGACTGATTCTTCCTGAGTAATTTTTAATTTTTTAGCAATTTGTCAATTGGTGTTGAAAAGAGAAAATAATATATTGGGCTGTAGTTGTATCAACTTTACTATCAAGCATAACTAAAAACTTGAGCATGAAACCAATGATATCCTTTAATTTATTTAATTCTAGGATAGTGCATACTGCATAGATCTTTTGTTATTTTTGGGTGGATGCTTATCCATCTGCTGACTTATTGGTTGTTGGGTGTGATGTTATCTTATCCAGACTGTGATTGGTTTTGGGATTGTGATGTCATTCTTTCTAGACTGCTATTGGTTGTGTGGTTGTGCCAAATATGCTTTGTGTACTGGTTAATTTGATACCCCTCAGGAATCCAGCTTGTCAGACAGGCTTTAACTCCTTTTTAAAGATGCCTACCCATACACTGTTAAAGAGGAAGTTGACTTAAATGTAGTCTTTTCTATAATCATGATGCTTTATAGTTTCCAAAATATGGCAATAATGCCTTCTTTTTGTACCTGTGTGAATATGGGTACTGTCTTGCTCCCGCAAAAAAAAAATGTGTATTATATTTTCAGGTTCAAGCAATGGAGGATTATTTACGCATTGAGAAGCTGGGTGAGGGCACCTATGGCGTGGTCTACAAAGCCAAACATAAGAAAACTGGCAAGCTTGTTGCCATGAAAAAGATTCGTCTTGAAAATGAAGAGGAGGGAGTCCCATCTACAGCCATCAGAGAAATCTCACTACTCAAAGAACTGCAGCATCCGAATATTGTTTTGTGAGTTTGCACTCCTGGCTTTTGGTTCTACTTTGCTGTGTGCATATATTTATGGAACTTTTTATTTTCAAATAATTGAGTGCAATTATATTTTTTTAGAGTTTATTATTGTTTTAAATGAGAATTATCATAATTTTTGTTAACACAATTATAGATTTTTGTTAGTGGGAATTTGTAAATACTTATTTATAATCTATTTCTAATTCAATTGGTAGGACTACATTACTTAATAGTCACATTTGTTTGAGAACAGTATTTGTAAGTCCAATATGGCAGATGCTTGATTGCTCATGAATGTTCATCATCATTCAATTTTATTTATCTTAGACCACTCTGTCTTTTTAACCTATATTGTATTTTGAGCCTATCCCTGAATTATTTAAAAAATTAATTATTATAAATGATTGTGTTTATTTGCAGTCTTGAGGACGTGGTTATGCAGGAGAGCAAGCTGTTCCTTGTGTTCGAGTATCTAAACATGGACCTGAAGAAATACATAGATTCGCTTGGCTGGGACGTCTACATGGATCCCAAGCTGGTCAAGTCCTATTGCTATCAGGTCTGGACTCCAACCTGGTTTTAGTGTATCTTTATATTGTAACTTCAGCATGTATTGCTTTACGTTTTCTCATAGTAAATAGATGTGCACAAAATTCAATGGTTCACCATATATTTTTCTGTGTATCTTTATTCTTTATGCTGTTGTAACTTCAGCATGGCTTGTATTGCTATAGGTATATTTTTTTATTGTTAGTAAATGTGCACTAAATTCAGTGGCTAACTTTATCAATACTTCATTCATAACTTAATTCCAACAAAATCACCTTCATCATGAGTTATCATTTATAAACGGTTAGTGTGATACTTAAATATCTATGGGTTTGATTGCAGCTGTTCCAGGGCATTCTGTTCTGCCACCAACGCCGCGTTCTGCACAGGGACTTGAAGCCTCAAAATTTACTCATCAATGAAGAAGGTGTGATCAAAATTGCTGATTTTGGTCTTGCAAGGGCGTTTGGGATCCCTGTCAGGGTCTACACCCATGAAGTAAGCTCAGAATTTTTAACTTTAATTACACTATTAATTAACATTATTGGATCCTAATTGTATGCTATTTAAAGTGTATATTTTAAGCAGTGATTAAGTTCAAATATATTAATGTAAATGCAACGCTTACTTGTTTGTTTCACTTTAAAGTAAAATCAATTTTGACTTGCCCAGGTGGTGACTCTGTGGTACCGTGCGCCTGAGGTTCTGTTGGGCTCATCTCGCTACTCCTGCCCTGTGGACATCTGGTCTCTGGGTTCCATATTTGCAGAGATGGTCACAAAAAAGCCCCTATTCCACGGTGACTCAGAGATTGATCAACTCTTCAGGATATTCCGGTCAGTATTTGACAATTTTTGTGAGCTGTTCAAAAAGTTTCTTTTCAGATTTTTCCTCCTCTCTGATTCTTCAAATTTTTAATGTTTGGTTTTTTATTTTTTCTTGCATTACTGTTTCGAAGTTAATTGAAGTAGTTTTTTATGCTTAAGCTTTAGCTTCAAAGCCATCTATTGAACGATCGGTATTCTTAACATTTGAAAAGTGTTTACCATGATAAATGTTCAAGTGCATGTTTGAATCACTAAAATTTATTTGTATGAGCCAAGGATGATTTCTTCTTAGATAATTAATGTCGAAATCTTCTTTCTTGATTGACTTTCTGCCAGCTGGTCTCCCGTTAAATTACTTGGGTTGTTGGAAGCGTCGATCATTGACAACATTTCTATGTAGTATTAATATTTTTGTAATGTCAAGATATTCAGAACCTTATTATCGTTCATGATAACATCACAAGAAACAGATTTAACATCATCCTTGTAACAGAAGTTGCACTTTACCGCCTTCACGGATTGTCCATTATAAGGAAAATCCCTTGATCATAGCCAAAATTTATTCTGCTTCTCAAGAGGTAACAAGTGCAACTCATTAATCGATGTAGGTTACTCGTAATTATAGTAGCAGACAATCTCCACTTCTAGTTAACAATGGTTAAGGTTGGAATTTAAATATAAACTATTTTACAGCATCTTGACAACACCCACTGAGGAGCTCTGGCCTGGAGTGTCGCAGTTGCCGGACTACAAGCCTAATTTCCCCCGATGGACGAGTGACAGCCTAAACAACAGCGTCAAAAATATGGATCCTCAGGGCATAGATCTCCTGAGAGTAAGTAACCCAGCTGGTCGAGAAGTAAATTGTTGTTAACTCCTCTAAACATGTCACATCATAATATTTTGTTAGTTTCTTTGGCGCATATGCTCCATTTTTACTACGTGCTGTGAACGTGTGCGCGGTGCATTGTATTTTTAGTTGTAATTGCCCTCGCTTTACAGCAAACGCTCATTTACGACCCCACGAGGAGGATCTCGGCAAAACGCGCCCTCCAGCACCCGTACTTTGATGACCTGGACAAATCCACGCTGCCTGCTAAAACCAACTTCGGCATCAACTAGACAAGAAGGACAACCTTCCGTCGGCGGCGTGCTGATTTGAATTGCACGCGTGTCATTGCTGATTTTTTTGGTAGTGTTGCGTAGTTCCGTATAGATACCTACGTTTCGAAATAGTTGCCAACTGCAATATTGCTGCTCAAAAGAATATATCCTCTTCTTGTGCCTTAGAATTCAGGACTCTTTGCATGTTCACTTTAGAACTTTTAACTCCAATGTTGGCTGTTAGCTCGAAGTACGATATATTTCTCTTAATATGAAGCTGCAGTGGGTTCTAACAGCTATTAAATTCAGAATAAGAATAACCAATGTGTGTTAATTATACTAAAGCTTGGAAAGCAACTATTGAACTGGGGATGATCTTGTTTTCCTATAATGATCTTACCGAGTTTTCTGATTACTTTCACAGCTATTGGTTATCGTCGGTGATAACATAGATTTTAGCATTGAAGCAACGTTGCTAAAAATCGCACTGCTCTTTATCTCGTCAACTTTTCTGTCATTAAGACAGTTGACTCTAAGTTTTCTTTGAAAATGATCATTATTTGAAGATAAATGAAGATTTTCTCACTACAAACTTGCATTTATCTGACTTGATATTTTTTTTCTCGGTTGAACAATTTGTAAAACTGTGATAGTTTTTTGCCACAAAGCATTTCCTTAGAAATTCATCGTAAATCAGATGTTACATATTAGCGTCTCATCAATATGCTAATAATTAGTGTAGAATCCCCAAATATCGTGGACATTTTCATTTAGGATATTTAACGATGTATTCCCACCCCTCGTGCACGTTTCTCACGTTCAACCAGTGTAAGGAGTCCGTGAAACGTGTGTTACGGGGACTTGCTTAAATACTTGCTTCAATGAGCACTGAATTATGGAATTTCTGTTCGAAATCGAATGTTTTATGTCGATTTACTGCACATTCTCTTCAAATTTGTGGTCTGATTATTTTGATTGAATCGTCATCAATCAGTTGCAAAATGCCTCCTCTTCAAAAAATAAAAGGGCTTCATGTACCTGGACATTCCATGGCAAGTCAAGTTACATAGTTATTGTTTACTTCACAACCGATGAAGCTTCATTTTAATTTCTGATAAAATAACTATTTCACTGCTAAATAAACGTCAAGTTGCAGGTGTAACATCATTTTTTATGAAAAATTTCTCCAGTAATCGTGAATTATTCGGTTCACGGCTGATGTAATCTTTTAGCCCCTGTTAATGTTTTAGTTCAATACTGGTGGAACTTTTTGTACGCGGCTTATGAAACCTACTATTCGCTGCTGATGAATATCTTTACCTTTGTTCGACAAGCGTAATATGCTGACGAGGGTAAACTTCTTCTGTATGATAGATTTCCTCGTTTTTCTTTAACCAAATAATTGTTTCGCAATCTTGCGCTGTATTTACTAGAATAACGCATCTTTTCACCCGCGATATTCTCTGACGAGGTGCTCCTGATGCACATGGCGCTCGTGCAGCAACACTTGGATAATAATTCATCTTTTCACTACTTTGATCTAGCTTTAAGGTATATATAGATTATTCATCTGTGATGCTTCTTGGTATTGTCGCTTTCGTCAGGACTTTAACGCTGCATTTTCTCATTCAATGCTGCTGCTTCTACCATTCCTGCTGTAAATTTCTTCTGCGCGCCTTTCGTTGCAGCATTTCATCAGATTCTACTTCTTGTATTCGCGGTGTTGTCTTCCTTCTCTGACTCTTCACATGTAAGTTCTTATGTTAGCTTCCTGCTTTCACTTGCATAAGGCCGTAGTATTGTTACACAAGACCATAGCAGAGACATCACAAAGTTTGCTCCCCTACCATTCGCGCTCATCCTTGTTCCAAGAACTGGTACCTTCGAAACGCAGCTGGAGACAAATTAAACCGACAACTACGGTCAAGACTATTTTTTTGTAAGCTATGCTAGTTTGTTGTTTATTTGAGTTGTCTTTTATATTAAATTGGGCATTACTTCATAGTTTCTGAAACTGGTTTCTCGTTGGAGTATTATTGCATTTTGTTCAGGTAATTTGTGGTCAATTTCATAGATCCGATATTAGATATACAGAGCACCTTGCTTTGACTTCATGCTTGCAGCTTTTATCAGGAATTTTATGTCTCCATTAGAGCGTAGACGATATTGATTAAGTGCCTGTTTACTTTCACGCCAAGAGTTTTTTTTTTTTTTGTTTTGGGAACTAGGCATCAAAACTGTTTTCACGCGATCACGAATAACAAAACTGTTCACGAGATCAAGAATAAATTTGACATTAGTAGAGGGGTTCCGCCCATTTACAGATTATTATCCTTTGAATTATCTATTGCAGTCAAGAAAAAACTTTTGAACTCGTGTTGCTATGAAAAACATCGTTTTGTCGACAGACGTAAATAAAGCAACTGATCCATTCAAGAACGGGTCCACTCCATCGTGGTCATCGGCTAAGCAGGATGTACTTCCGGTATAGGATGACATTTCAACATCCTTCATCCCTAATGCATAGTCTTTGCCGGGTTGGTATATGGCAAAGACGGGCGTCGATAGATACTCTTTTAATTACTTGCAATGTTCCAGAAAACAGAAGCCAGCGAATTTCCCTGAACGACCCTGGTATAACTAAGAAATCTGCCATTTTCACAGCGCACTTCAAACGAAAATTCATTAGAGTTAAAAGCAGAACGTAACTGAAATACCAGTGCAGCTGGTATCAAATGCAGTGATTTATCGTATCTTCACGCTCTATTTTACTCCCGATAAGAGCTAAAATCACAGTCAGATCATGTTAATCCTTAAGTCTAACCTACATATTAGTGTTTACCATATAATGTTTTCGTGTTTAGGAATCAATGTACTTAATTCGCAGGATAACTTGACCGCACAGTATGTCCTTCCATCACAAGAATGATCGGTTCATCAGACGGAAATTATATACCCACTTTTACTTGGCAACTATACACCCGAGATCAATGACTTTCATTTAGAATGAGTTTCATAACGCTGATATCAAGTTTGAACACATCACACTTGTATAGAAAATTGTTAGGAAGCCGAGAAGAAGAAATGGCATAACGCGTGCAGGCTTTTAAATCTTGACTGGAAAAGGTGACCATGCGATCAAGGCATGTAAGATGAATAAAAATTTTCTGTGCCACATGAAAAGAAAGACGTCCGACCTACGATTATTTTACCGCATATTTTCGCAGCAATGAAGCTTTCAAAGTTTAAAACTCGGCTGACGTTGCTGTAGCACCGATGCTAACAATCCGTTCTACGGTTACGACAAAATAAAAATATTAAGCATTCTAAATATGCAGTCCAACACTGCCCACGCACTAAACATAGTAGTGAGAATTTACCGCGCAGGTATTGCTGTAAAAAAATTAATTGCGCATGAGATAGCGAAGGAATGGCATCAAAAGCCATCAACTAGCGACTCGTTAGTAAGACTTGCAATAGGCACGAAGAAGTCCTACCAGGGCATAAAAACGGTAAAATATACTCGAAAATGCTAGTACGTCATCCTCAATCAAGTAGCATAGTAAGTCAACCTGAGTCAGTTGTGATGCGAAACTATTCATCTTCCATATAGATCCACATTACAAAAATGCAGGAAACATTTGAAACAACTGAACAAATTAAAAAATGGTGTCAACAAGCGAAAAAAGTTTTTCAAATACAATAACAACAGAAAGAGACACGCATATTTCAAGTGGCTTTTGACGGGAGAGCAACAATAAGACAACAGGGGCGGCTGGCATCATTTAAATGATTTTTAACGACTTATAAAAAAAACACTCAGTACTCTCGGTCATAAAATAAGGCGAAAAAAAATTTTTTTTGTTTAAATCATCAGATGATCGTAAGCAATCAAGACAGAATGAAAGCAGAATTTTGCAAAAAAGTGAATTGGATTTATTTGTCTAATTAGTCGAATGACTTCACCAGGCAAGATCTATCTATATGAGTAATGATTAAAGATGAAAATTAATTTGAAACGTTGCGCGACATATTAATAATCTAGTAGTAAAAACAAACAAAAATGTAACGCCCTTGTGAATATTCGAAGAGTAAAAAATAATTTCCAGAAGATTCAGAGCATATTAAGCATCCACTAAATATCAGAAAGTCAGACATTTCAGGAATCGTATCTCCCTTAGACTAATAATGCCTCGAAAAAGGAAATTCTACATAAGAATTTTTCTTAAACATCCATTACCATCAATCACACAGGCGGAATAATTCCATCAGTCGAAAAAGGCATAGAAATCAGATATGGATCTAGAAGAGGTAGTGATATTAGAAACTGATCAAAATAAGAATAAAATTTATGAATTCATAAATAAAGCATGAACATAGGGAAAAGGATGCTAAGCTTGAAATGATATAATGCGGATCATACAAAGCCAATAAAAACATATAAATCAAACCAATACAAAGATGCTGTAAAATCAGAATATGGCCACTAGAATTGACCGAAGCTCGTCAAAAATAATTTTCTTTGGGAAATAGTTCACAGAAACATTACAGATGAATGGTTCAGAGATACGTTTCACGTAAATGGTTCAGAGAAACGGAATGATATTAAGGAAAAGTTGCCATGGATGTCATCAAGGAGTGAGGAGCTCAACGCCGCTTGCGTCGCACTAAAGTGTTCTCCAGTTGCCCGCCCGTCAGCCATGGTAGGCTGAACTCACTGAAAAATATGAATAGATTCAATTTATCAATGTAAGTTCAAATAGTGCGTATTGTGAAAGATTAAGAAATACAGATATTTTCCATATTATTCTACGCTCGTGTGTGAGGTGATATTAAGGCCAATATTTTTGGAATATTTCAATTTCTTAGTTGTGTGTGTGGATAAAATTAAAATTGTTTTGTCATAAACTTAATAAACGTGTGGCGTTATTTCACCTTCCGGCCATATAACACATCTTATGGCAAAATATCAACCTTATTTACTCATAATATAAATACTCACACAGGAGGCAACACTGCGCATGGTTGACCAAAAGCACAAACAGGAACTTTGTCAGTGACCTCCAGGAACATAGCGCTGCATGGCTCGGGCCACAGGGAACCAACTTCCGCAATGCTTCCTCCTGCCCCACTGCCAACACTTGCACCGATGCACACTCCACCAGCACCACCTCCACCTTTAGTGCCACTAAGCTTACTGCCGGTACATGAAGTGGTGGAGGAGCATGCGGCCCCTGAGTGAAGGTGGCAGAGGGTGCCAGTGGCACATGAGGACTCAGGGTCAGCGGATGTTGACGGTACAGCAGAATTGCGAACCTCATAGCGTTCACGCAGCTTTTCATATTGACGTTGCTCGCGGAGACGTTGAAGATCCCAACTGAAAACAAAGGACAAACTTTATTTAAATCTCTTAAATAGTATTAAAAAAATTTTTGGTCCCTCGTCTCCCCAGCTCCCAGGCATCACGACGCCTGTCGCATCAACATTGTTCTCGTTGTTGCCATATTACATCATGGTATATGCACAAGCAGGCATCAGCATCAAACTACGTACCTCTGTCAACACTCTCAATAACATAGTTTGTAGGCATCAATGTTCAGTTTAATTGAAAGCTCACAATTTCAATTTGTCTAAAAACCATTGCTGCATCATTTTTTCAATTCATGTAGCATTAATCACTTAACCGGGCTGAATAAACGAGCAATGCTGCAAGTGAATATTCTGTGAATAAATTCATAATGATACTGCTGCAATGATGATTTACCATTCCAGAGTAAAAATCTTTTAGAAGCAACTCAATCACCAGATTTACAAAATTAATGCATGAATAAAATATTTCTTACTACAAATTTGAGAAAAAAATATATATTCAAAATTAAATAAATTAACTCATTGTTGACAAAAGACGAAATAATGAATAAACAATAATCCATCAAAAATTATCAGCAGAGGATTGGATTTAAGGAAATGGAAGTTGGATAAGCATGTATATTGCACAGAAAAAGCATAAAGATGGCTAGTGGATTGACTGCGTGGCAAAATGAGAACGATGAAAAAGTCAATGTAAGCATCACTCCCGTCACGATACTGGAGACTGGAAGTGGTGTGATCTAACACCAGCATAAGGTGATTACATGAAGTCGATGAGGACAAGCACTTGGATTTGGGGACAAGCATGAATTGATTACAATTATTGACCAAGAAATCTGAAATAGTCACTAGATTGGAGTATACGCTCACCGTTTTCTACGTTTCTCATCCTGTTCAAGCTTGTGATGACGTTTTGAGAATATTTCATCCTCCAGATTCTCTGTTCCCTCCATAACATACAAGGGCGTCAGAACCGACACTTTCCACCGAGGGATCTGATAAGGAAAAATTACTGTCACTTTGGGTACATTAATGTACATTCTAAACAAAAAATTCTTACACATTATGAAATTAATGGGTAAATTGAGGATAAACATAGTTCAACATAAGTCGATTTTTAAAAAATATAACTCAGTACTCACTGCAGTGAGTGACAGAGAGCGCATTTTCTCGTCGACGATAACTTGAGGTCACGGACGGACGGACAGACAGACAGACAGACGGACATGGCGAGCACAATAGTGCATTTTTTTCATAAATGAGAAAATGTGCTAAAAAGAGCTTACAGCTCTTCATTGACTTCAGAAAAACTATTTTACTGTGACCTTGCCTGAAATCACTGCTTGCAGGTACAAGGAAGTCATCAGCTAATTTTATCATGCAAGTTGTTGGCCCAAAGTATGTCAGAATGTAATAAGCTCATTTCAACTCAATAAATATATCAATGCCGCAAAACGTAAGGCCTTCATTTCTCTAGAATCTAGGTAAGTACAAGTCCTGACCTCGACAAGCTTGTTGAGTGGAGGCAAGTCTGTCTCCATGGAGAGACTGGCTTCAGTTGGGTCTGTCAAGTCCATGGGAGGCTCAGTGGGCAGGAAGTAATGTTCCTCTGTCGTGAGGTAGCCCTCCTTGCTGCGGACGGCACGTCCAGAACATACTGGAACTGCACAAACATTGAAGAAATTTAGAGCAATTTCTTTAGGTGCCACCACATACATCATTTCACATTGAAGCAAGACTTGAAAATTACTAGGTACATGAAATGAGAAAAACCTTTAGACTTATAAATCCCAAAATAAATGTAGTTGATTTCTCAGGACAATCAAATTTTTATATTGAAAAAATATTGAAACAACTATATCAAATCAAATACTCGTGTGAGGATGAACAACAAAGAACCAGTTATTGACAAACCTCTAGCATTCTGCTCCTTCAACTTGGCTGCTGCCTCAGAAGCTACTTTCAAGAAAACATTTTCATGTTCTTGTAAGTTGATTCCACTACTGTAAACCGGTGATATTTCCACTTGTCCGTTAGTTTCTTCAAAGACATCAGGATTAGTGTGCCTGAGTAACCGTTTCCTTCCCTCTACTGAGGTGACTTCACTCTTAAAGGACAAATCTTCAGTAGTATTTCCACACAATTCATTGGCTGGGACTCGTGATCGGAGGCTGTGTCTTACAGTGCCATCAGATAAATCATTTAAACTGTCAGCACCAACTAAATGAAGGTTTTGATTCAAGTAGTCTTCAACAATGGCACCATCATGAGTTTGTTTCTGCTTCTTTGTATTGTCAATGTCTTGACCATCAGACTTCCGTTTTGCATTGGTAGTGGAAGGATGTTGTCTGGAAGCCACAAGCCCTGCAGATGAGGACTCTCTCTTAGAGTCGAGTGGTATGCCCAACTCAGGTAAACCCTCACCATCACTGCTATCTACCTCACTGCAACTGGTATCAGATCTTGTGGACTTCTTTGAGATGCCTTGTGAATTTTGTGACCTAGGTCTGCTATTAAGAGAAAGTTTTGAATGCCGCCTTTGAGCCGCATGCGCACTACTATTTGTGTTAATGCTCTTGCAAACTTCACTTTTTATTGGATTTGTACTTTGACTCAAATTAAAACTAGCATTTTCTTGATTATCATTTGAGGGGCTGATGTCACTTCCACAAACCTGGTCCAATCTTGGAGAGTGTCGAATTGGAACTGATAAATCAGATAAAGGCTTACCAACAAAGCCTTCAATTTTAACACAACTCTTTTGAGCAGCCAAAGTGGAGCTGTTCCGTAATATTCGAAGACTAGGTGAAACTGCTCTGTGTTTACTAGAACTATTTGTTTCAGGTGAGTGATGTGCAATTTTATCTTGAGTTGATCTACATGATAACAGACTAATATTATTAGCAGTCCCTCCTTCAGAGGTAGACTGCTTTTCATTCTTTTCAATGCCTTTTGATATTGCTGATATTGTGGGTAGACGAGTGTTGTTATTATTGTTGGCACAGGTATTTTCCTTGCACAAGCCCTTTTCTGCAGCATTGTTACTTTTTGTGGTCACTGAGTCAACTCCAAGTTTAACTGGAGATATTTTCTGATTTCTTTCACAATCCAGGCAAGCCCGCAGCTGAAAAATATGAATAAAATTAACACAATTTTCTGCTATCAAAAGTAGAATCTAAGAGACAAGATAATAACTTTGAAGAAAAAAATAGCATCTGCATGCATTTAGAAGTTAGAACATGGCTTAGAAGCATCAAAGGAACTTCTCTTGTGACAAAAAGACAAAATTTTGAAATAAGAAATTTAATAATTCCTTTTCAATCCTAACTTGACATTGGTGGAGCCAATAATTCCAGTACTATAGCACAGCACAATGAGCATGTGACCAAAGGTCCTATGGTTCCAAACTTTACATAATCAGGACAATGCACTCATGAAATTTAACACCAAGATCAGATGAGATATCATGCTCACAAAGAGCATCCAACTACTAGCCGATTTTTTTCACATGTCTAAGAATAACTAATACTTATTTAGCAAGGAAAATTATAACTTAGCACAAGACAAATTGTAAAATCAGGCAGAAGCCACAGGTTAACAAGATGTTAACACCTGTGCCCAGTCAATTTCACCTTTTCCCACAATTATGTCAATTTGTCTATTGTATTTCTTAAAGTTAAGAGACCACTTCATTTTTAATACCCTGATCTAGTTAAAAATTGTAGTTGATTGGTTTATGATAATGCTGTAAGCTGTACTCTCTAGTCTCTAATGTCACACAGAATTTTCTACTCAGCAGACAATGCACTAGACCTGACCTGCCACTGCCAGGCTGCCAATAGAAAACACTGGAAAATTGGGCAGAACCGCAGAAGCCACCCTTAAATTGGACAAAAATGCCTGTAAATCTTGCAAATTTCAAGTTTTTGTTTGCATTTTCTTAATTCTTCTGTGCAAAATAAAAGAAACAGCCTATTTTTATTGGCAATTTACAAAAATCACCCATGAAACAATCATTTATGCCCATGACTAAACTCCAAAGTATTAATTTAGTATAAAGTAGCCTATATTATTTATTTTGAATTTGATATTAGGAACTTGGAAGTTTGGAACTGTGTTGGAAGCATGAGGAGGTCATAGGTAGGGTGGCATTAGGTGCTAGGTACTTCCTAGTCCTAGTCTGGCAGTGGCATCAGTGGCATGTAGGTTAATACATCAACCTATTGAGCCGCAACTGCAACTGGAGCTTTCCTGTTTCTTTTTTGAGTAAAAAGATTCCCATTTGATGAATTACCTCCTATCCAATTTAGTAAGCTAACTGCTAATTAAAAGTACACAATAGAGCTGTTGCCGGCTGCAGGATTGCATTTCCATATGTAGTGAGATTGTGAGAATTTGTCACTTTGGAACAAGATTTCAGTGATACCTAACTAAATAACAGTAATTTAAGTAGAAGAATTCCATTATAGGGAAGGGAACAAAGCACTGAGTGGTCTAGCTACTTCAACCAACCATGATTAATGAATAATGATATTGACATTTGCTTCAGAGTTCATACTTTCAGCAGGTAGCCTATTACACACTGAGCTAACAAATTTGAAAGCAAAACAAACTTTCTTAAATGCCCTTAGGCTTATTAGGTAGCCTTCAATTATTCAATATGCTAAATATGTGACAATATCTTACCTTCTTATTTTCTTCCTTCAGTTCCTTGATAAGTTTATCTCTGGCTGCTAAATCTTCAGCCTGTTGTTGTATCAAATCTAAATGAAGTAGCACTAATTCCTTCAAATGTTTGGCCTCAAGTTCTTTACTCAATGAGGACTTAGAATCTAAACACTCGATAAACATGTGATTGAACTGCATTGCCATGGCCTTGCTTACTTTAAAGAAATTGTTATTCAAAGCCAATAAACTTGATCGAAATTTTTTATCGCGTAGAAATAAATATTTTGATCGTTTTAATGATGAAATTTTCACATGTTTCTTGCAAACAGCCAATCGGTCCAGAGATGAAGCGTTAAAGACATGTTTGAAGGTTTTATCTCTGCGGATTCCTCTCATTTGTTTGATTAAGTCATCTCAAACAATTTGCATATAAAAACCTATTGGAGAACAAATGAAAAATCACACTATTGAACTTTTTAAATAACTAATCAGGATTATTTATGAACTTAAGCATAAGAATGACAAGATTAGTGAGGTACTTTGTAAATAGTCGCACGCCAATTAGGTTTTTAATCTTCAGAAGTTAAGGCCATGTGGCAGCCATGTTGAAATCTTACGCAGTTAACTGCGCTTTAATTTGGCGAAACAATCTATTATTCTTCATTTCTTGAAGACTCAAACTATTACGACTCAGTTGAAGAGGTTGAATATTAGAAAAAATGGACCACTTAAAGATACGCTTTTTTAGGCAGATTGAACTCAGTTTGACCAGCGATAGTGTGACGAAATGTAGGCGCGCGAGTACGCGCGTTCATTATCGCAGTTTCAGCACAGATAAATTTGAGTCCTGTAATGGCGCCACAAATGAATTAAGAAGTGATCAACTGTATGGCTCTATGGGACATCATTCATAGCATGTGAAACTTTCATCATTCATGAACTAATAGGTATTTTTAAATAAAACCGCTTAGATCAAAATGAAGTATAAAATAAATCTGAACAAAATTTCTTGCAAGGAAGTTGTGCGCAATTCAAATTACACAACACGTTGCCTTCTCAGAACAAGAATTTAATTTGGTGGTCTCAGGTCTGTTCTCGGTAAACCTAAAGAGATGAACTGATTTAAAAAGTAATATTTTAGTATATCTGTTTCACCTTTGAAGTAAATTATACGTACAGTCGTACATCAAAGATATGAATAAATAAATTTCTCTGTTGTCATTATAAACTAGATAGTAGAGTCGCTATTGTACGTATGTGAAGCAGACTGCTTGAAATACGTAGGCTCATGGCGTAGGCTGGCCGCGGTGGCCGGCGAGCACAGGTGGCCTCATAAATCGGCCGCTTGAGCAGGGTGGCCACCGATCGGCCACGATATTCGCGATTGACCCGGCTAGGTAGACCAAGCCGCAAATCTCAAGCTAACACCCGACTTTATCTTCATCTTTCATTTATTTTGTACTAAATCGAAATCACACAGCTGTTTAAAAGCTACACATTGTTTTCTAGTGGCTGATGCATTGCCAGCGACCAGTCGATCTTACTGTATTTACTGGGAGATTAATTAACTCGCCGGTTACTCTGACCCCTCTCAAAGGGGTTTACTCCCAGGGGATTTATGAAATGGATTTACGATCGCTTCTCTTTACAATACATGACTTGTGTTTTCGTTAGTCGTTTGAACTTGCACTCTCTGTTAGGGTTTATGCGTCTTAAATTATACGTAAACTATTGAGTGTAGCAACCTGGGGACGTTTGTACGCAACAGAGGACATTTATTAAAGTTATCGTACGTGGCGGCAACCATCAGTGCAAGTCATTTTGCGTTGCGCACACTAGAACGTATCCATTTTGGGAAGTAGGCATGTGACAATATTCTCCGGTTCCTCATGTTAGGCGGTACAGGATTAATTATTGATTTTCTAACTTTAAATGATAAATTTACATGGCAAATTATTAATGTTTTAACATGCCCAGATTGCATATAAACAGCTATATTATCATAAAAATTAAGATTGTCATGGACGAGCGCAGTTACGGCGAACCTTGTAGGAGTTTGAATGCGTTAAGAGCAAATTTAACCCACCCGATATGAGCTCATTCGAAACTTTGGGATTGCTTTGAATCTATAAATCTTCAAGAATTTTCCATCTACCTCAATCTTCTAAACGATTTGTCTATTTTCCATTAATATCTCAATGCTAGACACCTTGGCCATGTACGCCTTTTGCGTTTCAAAGCAGAAAGCGTGTCTTTGTTTGAAATAGTTATGGCAGAATGAGCATCGTTTCTCCTGTGCTGATTAATAAAGGTAATTCTCGAAGAGCCTTGCTGATTATCCGCTTCTACTCGCAGCAGTCTTGACTGATTTTTACTTACCAGCTTTTCTTGGTATAACACGCATTTTTTATTTATGGAATATAAACACAATAATTGAATTTTCCTGTGTACTTGAATGGCAAATAAAATAAATCACATCTACAAAACAATGACTCGATGATAGCTTATTCTGTTGTTGAATCGATGAGCTTGGGTAAAGAGATCGAATTTTTGAGGAGATTTGGGGAGGGATGAGGGACTCTCTACGGGGAAGGCTGAGTAAGGAGGGACGGTAAAACAACATACTACAGATTCAACAATAGAAAACGAACTGATTACAGTTCAAGTGTAAGACGAGGTGTACAAATGTGCGATTGCTATAACAGGTAACATTTGTTTCTTACATAATGCTTAAAAATGATTTTGTCTGGGGGCAGATTGGTACGCAGCGTTTAAGGCAGCAAAATGAGCGGCTTTAGCAGCAGCGACTTCAGGAGTGTCCATCACCTGGGTGGGGAGGCCGTGCACGCCTGCAGGGACTGTGTCAGCTAAGGGACCATTCCACTTCTGGATGGGTCCTGCGTGGGGCTGAGGAGCAAATGTGTGTTGAGGAACAGCGACCTGGTGGCCAGCCAAATGTCCGGCCAAGTGTCCGGCTTGATGGGGGAATGTGTTTGCTTGAGGAACAAACTGCTGGTTGGTGCCAAGGTTGGCGGAGAAGGCAAATTTGTTGAATGCTGGGAAGGCCTTCTGAACGGGAGCCTGTACGTGATTGTGGTGGGGAATGATGTTAAGGTTGGGGTCATCGAGTCGGCGGTTGGCCATGATGATGTGAATATCCGGAGCAGCGGCAGCGAGGGCGGCTAGACGGTTGTATTCGTTGATGAACGCATTTCTAGCGGCTTGCACATCGGACGTCTCGAGAGGAAAACCTTGGGGAGCGGCACTGGCCAGTCCAAGGACTACACTCACGAAGACCTGAAAAAAAAATTAATCGTCAAAATCATAGTACAATTTATATCACAGAAATATTCATATTTTATCAATATTGCATCCATGATTCTTTCTACGCGCAATAAAACGCAATTTTATATTATACTGAGTCATGTGAGATCCTAATAGTAATTAGCTGAACTTAGAAAACTGTATTTTCACCGAAAATTTTTTTTAAAAATTGTTTTCTAGTGGCTGATGCATTGCCAGCGACCAGTCGATCTTACTGTATTTACTGGGAGATTAATTAACTCGCCGGTTACTCTGACCCCTCTCAAAGGGGTTTACTCCCAGGGGATTTATGAAATGGATTTACGATCGCTTCTCTTTACAATACATGACTTGTGTTTTCGTTAGTCGTTTGAACTTGCACTCTCTGTTAGGGTTTATGCCCTAAAAATTAAATCTTAAACGTCTTAAATTATACGTAAACTATTGAGTGTGGCAACCTGGGGACGTTTGTACGCAACAGAGGACATTTAAAGTTATCGTACGTGGCGGCAACCATCAGTGCAAGTCATTTTGCGTTGCGCACACTAGAACGTATCCATTTTGGGAAGTAGGCATGTGACAATATTCTCCGGTTCCTCATGTTAGGCGGTACAGGATTAATTATTGATTTTCTAACTTTAAATGATAAATTTACATGGCAAATTATTAATGTTTTAACATGCCCAGATTGCATATAAACAGCTATATTATCATAAAAATTAAGATTGTCATGGACGAGCGCAGTTACGGCGAACCTTGTAGGAGTTTGAATGCGTTAAGAGCAAATTTAACCCACCCGATATGAGCTCATTCGAAACTTTGGGATTGCTTTGAATCTATAAATCTTCAAGAATTTTCCATCTACCTCAATCTTCTAAACGATTTGTCTATTTTCCACTAATATCTCAATGCTAGTCTGCTAGACACCTTGGCCATGTACGCCTTTTGCGTTTCAAAGCAGAAAGCGTGTCTTTGTTTGAAATAGTTATGGCAGAATGAGCATCGTTTCTCCTGTGCTGATTAATAAAGGTAATTCTCGAAGAGCCTTGCTGATTATCCGCTTCTACTCGCAGCAGTCTTGACTGATTTTTACTTACCAGCTTTTCTTGGTATAACACGCATTTTTTATTTATGGAATATAAAACACAATAATTGAATTTTCCTGTGTACTTGAATGGCAAATAAAATAAATCACATCTACAAAACAATGACTCGATGATAGCTTATTCTGTTGTTGAATCGATGAGCTTGGGTAAAGAGATCGAATTTTTGAGGAGATTTGGGGAGGGATGAGGGACTCTCTACGGGGAAGGCTGAGTAAGGAGGGACGGTAAAACAACATACTACAGATTCAACAATAGAAAACGAACTGATTAAAGTTCAAGTGTAAGACGAGGTGTACAAATGTGTGCGATCGATATAACAGGTAACATTTGTTTCCTACATAATGCTTAAAAATGATTTCGTCTGGGGGCAGATTGGTACGCAGCGTTTAGGGCAGCAAAATGAGCGGCTTTGGCAGCAGCGACTTCAGGAGTGTCCATCACCTGGGTGGGGAGGCCGTGCACTCCTGCAGGGACTGTGTCAGCTAAGGGACCATTCCACTTCTGGATGGGTCCTGCGTGGGGCTGAGGAGCAAATGTGTGTTGAGGAACAGCGACCTGGTGGCCAGCCAAATGTCCGGCCAAGTGTCCGGCTTGATGGGGGAATGTGTTTGCTTGAGGAACAAACTGCTGGTTGGTGCCAAGGTTGGCGGAGAAGGCAAATTTGTTGAATGCTGGGAAGGCCTTCTGAACGGGAGCCTGTACGTGATTGTGGTGGGGAATGATGTTAAGGTTGGGGTCATCGAGTCGGCGGTTGGCCATGATGATGTGAATATCCGGAGCAGCGGCAGCGAGGGCGGCTAGACGGTTGTATTCGTTGATGAACGCATTTCTAGCGGCTTGCACATCGGACGTCTCGAGAGGAAAACCTTGGGGAGCGGCACTGGCCAGTCCAAGGACTACACTCACGAAGACCTGAAAAAAAAATTAATCGTCAAAATCATAGTACAATTTATATCACAGAAATATTCATATTTTATCAATATTGCATCCATGATTCTTTCTACGCGCAATAAAACGCAATTTTATATTATACTGAGTCATGTGAGATCCTAATAGTAATTAGCTGAACTTAGAAAACTGTATTTTCACCGAAAATTTTTTTTAAACTCATGTCAATTCCAAATTATTCCTACAAAACGATGACAATTGCCAATAAATAAACGCATTTTTAATTAATACTAAGACTAAATGTAACTAAATCTACTAAAATTGGTGATCCAAACTGATCGTAAACCAAACTGAGGACACGATTGCAATTAAAAGGCCAAAGGACAGCAACCTCCTCACCCATGTCTTAGGTGTGGTCGGTCTCAAGAGTGTAACCTACTGATCCTATTGTCCTTGCCTCACTTCAAAGCAAATTTATGAAAAATGATTTACAATCATGCCTGGAGATTTGATCTCTTTGCAAGGTGCAAACGTATGATAAATAAGTTAGCAAGGAACGATTGTCGCTGCTTAAATATTGACGGTAGACAACGAATGTTTCCAGTCGTGACACTTAGGAAGTGAACTTTTTTTGGTTGATTTTAACTGTGTGGACTCACATCGATAGGGATGTTATATATTGTATAAAAATTAAATTAAGTTCCGTAAAACTAGCGTCTGCAAATTATTGTATATTACGTATATTGAGTATTTACAATTAGTAAAAATCGTAAAGAAATTGGAGTTATTGGAGAATTTTTCTTTAATCTACATTTGCAGGTGCATAAAGTCGAGAAGTCGGGTCTACTTACAATGCTCAACATGTTGCTGCTGAAGTTTTTGCAACTCACTACACGAGGATTGAAACGCGAATGATGATGTGAGACTGCAGCGTGGGCTTTTATATAGCCCCCGCCTTGGAGTCAGGATATGCACGGCTGAAGTCCCGCCCCTGCGACAACGCCAAAAAGAAGGCAACCCTCAAATTATGGGACCTGTTTATTTCGGACACTGAAGCGTTCAGAAGACGTTTTGAATGCGCCTGAAGCTCTACAATCCACGTCGATCGCAGGCGCTCAATGTTAACAGGAAGGGCGAGTTGTTCGTAAGATTATACAGCTAACTTGATTGGCTGTACGTGGCCGATGACGAGAGAAGTGATAGTTACATTAACTTGATTTGATTGAAGATTACGATCGTTTTTTACGCTCTTCGTACATAAAAACTTCGTACATCGCAGTGAAAAATTAAATGGAATATAAATTAGTTCGAGCATAATCTGAGCTTAACTAATTATAAATCACCAATATAAATTCCGATGCGCCGTATCGGTTAATTGTGCATCTTGTTAAATTCTGTTTTAACATACTTTTATTAATGCTTATGAATGTTTTCAGCGTAGTATATGATACGAAGGTCGATTAAGAATTGGAAAAAATTAACTCTCGTTGTTGATTTTCCCATTTTTAAATGCATGTGCGCTGGATTCATTGGATCGTGACCTTCCCGCACCACNGTTGTGCTAGGGATAATCCCCCTCTTACTTACTTATTCCTCTAATTTGGGCTTATAGTCTGAAATTTCAGTCAAATTTTTATTGCTACGGTAGATGTAGACCAAACATAGGCTTTCATCATGCATAGAAAAACGTTGAAAAATGCACTGGTATTTTTATTCACCTACAGTGATTTTTATTTTAATACAAAATGAAAAAAGCCGTTAAGTCACAATAAGTATTAAGTGGCTTCCACTGCTGTTTGTTGAAGTCGAATGAATAAATTTCGACAAGAAATACAGCGGAGTAGTTGTATTTGATTAATTGAAAACTTTCACGATGAATAATCGTTTATGCCTCGTTTGCCGTTACTTTTCTTCCATTGTATGCATGAAAATTAAAATATTTTATTGATTTTAATGTTGTTGATGTGTCAATCATCAACAACATTAATCAGAGTTGATGTGTCATAACCCTGTGACATTTCTCTCACAAATAATTTATAATCACCTCCATCATAGCATGCAGTTCTCTCTCACACGCCTCCGTCACGTGTCTCACAGTTTCCTTCTCACCTCATCACACATTAATTATGCACCACTTTATTCCTGCGTCGATGACTGCAGGGGAGGTACAAACACATGTTAATTCCTGCAATCAAAATATTTCAATACTTCCGTATATAATTCTCACTAAAATGTCATCGACGGCCAAGAAAACTAAAAGTGAAGTCAAGTTTTCTGCAATTTTTTCTTCTGGAATTCATAATGAAATTTCTGTGCAGTTTTTGCTGAACTAATGTTGCTTTTAATACTCACGTAAGACACTTGCTTGGTTATTTATGGAAGAATTTTCTTGTTGCTCGTTTGGAAAATAAATTATGTTGATTTAAAATATATTTTATTCAAAGTAAAATGCTATGTCATTTCTTACGATGAATTTACGCTTCTCGCTATCTGTAAGAGCATATATGTCACCTTATGTATAACTGCATTTTTAATAAAATTTAAAGTTTTCGTAGTAAAATTAAGAATGCAACATTGTAGCGTACACAAATAAGTGTAGCCTTTCGAAGCTTCCTTAATTAACGACTTTTTACTTTTAACGGCAAATTATGATAGTCAATCGGTTTAAGCAATAGTATTGTGTCTAAGGAAACATTCCAATACTTGCCTAGTTAATTGACACACACTCACTGCCGATTATGGCATTAAAATGTAATCGAAACATCCCGAGTAATAGACTCATAATTAGTTTGTACTTAACTCGTGCGTGTTATGAACTGCTGAATGAAAAACTGGAAGGTTATGAGCTAACTTATATACACACGAGAATGATCAACACGTAGCTAAGGCTGACGCTGATTTTTCGTCTGTGTTCAAGAGATAACAACATGAGCGGGAGTTACGAAGCGAGAATGAGCGCCATAGAAACAATATAATTTTTGGTGGCATTGTATAAGTAGGTTTAATGACGTCACGTGTGCGAGTTTGCACCTTGCATGTTTGGCCTAGTGTTTGTTTAGATTTAAATAAGAAAATGTTTGCAATATTAGTAAAAACCGAATTTTCAGTGTTGCGAGCGCACTATTTTAAGCTAGAGAGTGCGATACATTACGACTTGCTGATAAATCTTTAGGTATAAGTAGTCCGTACCTAGAGGTCGAAATGCTTGGCTGGCACTCATGACATACATATAATGTGTCAAGTCGCCCGAATAATTTGGTTATTAAGATTTGAATGTTGTGTTTGGATATGTCAATTGTATATCTGTCTGATAATTACGTAATTAATTGTTCATTCAACTACTACCTGAGTATTGTATGCTTTTTCTTTCTATTTTGAGAAACCGTAAGCTGCTTGGTAGTGGAATAGCAAACGCAGCATCGAACTGAAACATTGGGCAACATCTTTATTAAGGATTAAAAAGAATGTCTGAAGACGAAAAGCAACATTAATGATATTATAGAAGTGTCTTTCAATTTCTTGGTGCATAGAATTTTTATCTTAGAATCACGAAATCAATTGGCCTCAAATATTCGTTCTTATAAGTAACGAGAGTAAGTTTAAAGCACCACGCTGGAAACCCCAAATAATTGGGACAGAACTTGAATCATTGAAGCATAATTGCCTTAATCTTAATGACAATCCAAATAGACAGTAACAAATGACCACATTAATTTATGTCCTAATTGAACCATACTTACAAATTCCGGGTTCACTCAAAAAAGTGTGTAAATGAATGTCCGCAGTGGGAAATATTGTTTTTGAATCACCAGTACAAATCAGGCATTACTTTGACTGACGGTGGAAGTTCCTCAAGTACGCACAGGGTATACTGCTAGAAAAAATCATGAAGCTTATTTAAAAAGTTAGACTGGATGCAAATATTATAAAAGAGGGACCCTGACCTTGCGGGTGAGTTGCCTAGCTGTCAAGGAAGAGCCACTTTTTGCCAACACCCATGGCTGTGGAGATAGCGATTTAGACCATCTGCAGATTGCGATACTCGCGCGACGATCTCGCGTACATGAGGAATGCTTTATTAGACAACTTTTATTTCCGTGTCCTGGTACAGATATTTTTTTGTTTTTCTGACTCTAAGGTCTAAGTGTAAGGAAGCGAAGAAATTGGCTCATAACACAGCTCTGTAATTACCATAGTCGACAATGACGAACTCTCAGATAAATGAAATAAAGTCCGTCCAATCGCATGCATGGTTTTAGTCAAAACGCTGAACTTTTAATAGACGTTACAGATGAAATAAAGCCGTTCCCCCCTTCGTTCGATGCATCATGACGCTGAAATAACGTTGAATAAACGTTCTTTCATCGTCATTCGTCTGGAACGTAATAAATTAGGCTCGTGTGCAACTTACCTTGATTCTTGAATTTATCTCAAGCATTTCAAGCCCTGATCTAAGTGTAATAAAGAACTTATTTCAATACATGTGTAACTATTAAACCTGTTCCCGTAATTAGAAAAAAAAAATCATGGAAAACATTCATTTGCATCCATTCAGCTCGAATAATTTCTGTATATATTATCATGGCATACCTCAATATTAAAACTATTATTTTTACGTCATGCGACCACCTCGTGAAATACCACATGCTCAAATCAAACTTCCATCACAATATTTTGCCTGCAGAATGCAAAAAAATGAAGCAGTCTCAGTAAATTTGTCATGATTTAACCAATTTTTTAATGCCGACTTATTGCCGTATGTCATGACATGCAATGCATGGGACGAGTCAGGCAAAGGCGCGAAGTTGTAAGCCTTAATCGCAAGCTCTGTAAAGTGGGAGAAGATGCTGCTATGTGCGACTTGTTTGAATGTTTTTTGTTAGTCGAATGTTGAAAAATTTATGCAATTTGTATACTTTCATAGAAGTGATTTTAGACAAAGCAAAAAAGGTTAAGTTGTGATACATGAAATATCACTCAACCTTATTTCTCTATACACAGTGCTTATTTCTCGACACAATTGCTTACACGTTATTTCTGCTCACAACGAAAATGAAATATATGTGACCGCACCACAGTACGGTACAACTTAACGTTCGAAATATTTATATCGAAACATATATCAGAAAGTAATATCTTTTTATCAAATCGCCCTCTTTCCATTTTTCAGAGAAATTTCATTTTGTTGGAATCATGAACATGCACGTAACATATTCTTCGAGGTACGAGTTACTTCAAGCGACTATGGCGTCAAGTCAGCGAGTATGTAGAAAAGATATATACCACGACTTATTTTTCATGCACGCAATACGCATAAAGTTGAGTGTTTTTACAGGACAATAGAAGCAAAAATTTTAAGTTTCTTCAAAACTTTTGAAGACGGAAGCATCGCAAACATAGATAATGTAAAATGTTCCAGTTGCTTTACATTTCCTTTCGTTTAACTCAGTACAGAATAATTAAAGAGTATGGCTGAATTCGCAGTAAAAAAAGTGAACTATAACGCCAATCAAATTGTAAGTCAAGACTATAAATCATTTTTCCTCGACCATTACCCACGAAATATAAACAAAAGTGTGTCAACCTGAGCGTATGGAACGAGCATTATACACACTCTGATGAGCATTTCTGGCTCCGTTGAGCGAGAGTAGCTCTTTTGAATTATAAACGGTATAAAATGCAAGCTTGATTGTTCGGCATGTTGAAAAAAAAAACGTTTTCGTATGTCACAGAATATGGTTGATCCGTTAAAAAATTCATCGAGTAAATAGAGCTGTATAGGGACGACCTTAACTCATCCATTGTCGGCAGGCTGTTCTGACGACAGTGACGCATAGGAGTTGATTCCGTCAAAAGAACGGTTGCTACAATTTTATTTCGTAGGAACAACATTTTTTACGAGTTAAATCCGTTAAAAAAACATTCATCACG